TAAACTGCGCGTTCCACTGCTTTCACAAAGGTTTCAGCTGAAAGTCTTCCTGGGCAAAAGCCAGCACCAGTTACTTGTGCTTCAACACTTTGCGCTGAAGGAACCCATTGTGAAGAAATCGACGGACAACCTCAATGTGTGAAAAATCCAGGTATGTCTGAAAGCGTTTCGTTAATAGGTAGAGCCAGGAGGTTGTAGTGAAGGATAAAAGCTCAGTCGAGCTTAAAAGAACTTCCACGTAGCGCAATTGAATGGTTAGACTCCGTCTCTTCAAGGAGTTAACGGCTATACCTTGCTCTCATCAGTTATGAATCGTGTTATCAGCTAAAGACAGAAGATTCTGCAGGTCCGTGTGCTGCCGCGTTCTGTGCCGGTGGTGAATGCATCGAGTATAACGACACGTTTGGTTGCTTCAATACTAGTGAGTTGAAGTTTGTCCTGTATCATGACTCAGATGCCAGACAGTTCGGAGCTAACAACAACTGAAACATTAGCGGTCGCATAACAGCCCATTTACGGGGCGTTCTAGAACGTTGAAGAGAAGTTTCAACTTGTTCGGGAATCGAAGACTCACTGTATTCTCAGTGGTCCTTGCCATGTGAGAGGTTAATGGGTCCGCAGCTGCAGTAGCGCGCCATTTTCTCTGCTCAAAATTTCAGGGACGGGGCGGAAATGTAGTGTTATCCGATTGCCGATAGAGACTCCGCTCGCGCTGCAGCTCTGCCAGTCACACGCTTATCCGTATTTAAATGTGCTACTGCCAGGGTTCTATCACACCGCTGAAGGTATATTTCGCTGCGGGACCTCGGTAACAACGCAATCGCTGGAGCTTGAGGATTATGCGGTAGAGTTCCAGACGGCTCCCGGGTGTTACTACCGTTCAGCCTCATTACCATGCGTTTCTCCAAAAGTGATAAAGTGGCACAGCTGCCAATCCATACTTCTTGTACATGGCAAGTACCGTCCTCGGAGGTGGTGTGCAGTTACTATTTTCAGTTCAAGTAAGCACAAATGTTTGTTTATTGCATTCGTTTCGGGAGAAACATATAGAGGTGGTGATCTCATGTAAGTTGTATTTTCAGCATGTGGAGCCCGTGAAGAGTTCGTACGATGCCCGTCCTGTGAGTCAACCTGTGGATTCGCTGTGGTATGTGGTGCCTCATTTGAAAGACGTTGAGTGGCTTACGCACATGTAGCGAGAGAGTGAATTATTCTTTTCGGCCGGTCTGACAGAGGAAATACTAGGCCTTTTCATCTGGCTTCAGAGGCTGGAACAGCCCTAAAAAGCAGTGGCAGGAGAAATCGGCGACCCTCGCTGAATCACAGGCCAGCAAATCAAACCGTCGCGTGGCAGAATCTCTCGATGGCTTTCGTCCCAAAGGCTGTGGCGGAGTTCGTGATCGTGTGCAATGTGCTTCGTCTTCATCGCTGTTGAATTTGGTGGCGAAAATGTCTAGCCACTATTCAAAAAAGTGTTACTTATAGAGTCGAGGAGGAAAAGTGTATTTTCTTCAACCCCGTGTACACCCTGAGCACTTGGTATTATGCAGCGTTCAGACTTTGCAACTCGGGAGCATGCGCGAAAAGGAGCGAGTAGGTATTGATCGGTGGTGGTTGCTTGTTTCAGAGAGCAAAGATAGTGAAAGAAAAGGAGGGTACCAGATGGTGTGATAAGGCATCGTAAAATACCTGAATTTGCGTTGCGGTCGCAAGCTACCGAGGTTACTCCTTCGTGATGTCAAATCTAATCATCCCATCAGGGACCCTCATATTTCCCTACTCTCTCTCAAATCACTACGACCCGCGCCGATCGATACCGAACTCACATCTGGCACGCATCCACCCTATGCAACGATTCTCCCGAATGACCAAATCTCTCAAAACACCTACTCCCCAAGACTCTAGCGACCAGCTCCAATCGATGCCTATATTTTCCTTCACTTTCCTTTTCTCTCATTGCCCCAAAACATCAGTTGTGCCGATCATAGCCCGTCCGGCCCCTATGGGAAATTCGCAACATGCAACAACCCTCTAAATCTCATCCAGTGGT